ATAATCTGCAATAATAATATGATATTTCTACGAGATTGAAAACGGATTGTATCGTTTCGTCTACCATGCTCGAATCTGGGGAAATGAATTTGGGAGAAACCGGTAGCACCACCAATGTACAAGCGGGGAAGAGATCAACTACGGATCTGTGGCACGATGGTGATCATCAACAGGATGTTCGTTTACCGGAATACGTGAACCAAATTCTGTCTAGAATCACTGATCCCAGTGTTGTTGAGGAGCTGAAAAATGTAATACAAAAAAACATGCACGAACTGTCCCAGCACCAAGCAGATCGGGATCGAGCTCGTTCTGAGGCCGAGGAAATTCGTGACAAGCTACAAAGAACTGAAACGGAATTGGGCGATCTGCGGAGTGCGGCTGCTCTTATGGTGGCTGGTCAGGACGATGCGCTAGTTACATTAAAGCGCCAATACGATGAAGAATTGGCTTCTTGGCGTTCAATATCAGAACAGCAAATACTTGAATTATCAGCCGCCAACCGTAGGCTGTTGGAACATGTAGGTCAATAATTATTTCGAAATTTTATGTACCTATTGTCCAGGGGAACAATAGTACAACCAAGTTACCAGTTATCGAAAACAGTTGACGTTGAGTAATCACCGTTGTTTGCAATACTTCAGCTTTTATGTTGGTTTGTCACTCAGATAAGCGATTTCGTCGACAAATGGCTACTTCGGTAACCATTCACGGGGGATCACTATCAGGTTGACCACACAAATGTCTTCGAACGTGCCTCTTTTTCCGTCTATTTTGGTCACAATATGATCATTATCATATTTGTTTGTGATGAAAAGAAGACGGGATTAACCCCATACTCACGAGGACCTACTTTTCACTCATGGAAACCGGTATTTTAAGCTTCAGGACTTGGGATGATCTGGGTCAGGCGTTGTGTTGAGTCGGACGACAGCGAAGCTGCCTACCACATTTTGCTGGTCCTCGACTGTATCGAATAAATCCCTCTCCACTTATCGTTGTGATAAGTCACTCAATTCATGATTTGTTTATGGCAAGTTTTCTGTCTCGAACAAGTGGTTTTCTGGAGGGTTCGCAATCGGAGCTCTTGTTTGATTTTAACCATACGGTGCGGGCCGCTGTGTAAAAATCGCAGTTTATTGAGGGTCGGTCCGAGCCTATGATGTTGTTCACACGTTAAGGATGATCCGCGTACCCTGTTTTCCAATGGAGTTTGTGTTCACCACAACTAAGATATTTGGGAAACTGTTCCGTATGTCTTCTGAGGCGGTTTAAAATCAGGCTTCTCTAAATTCCCTAGACTAACTAGCTACCCGAGGTTCATCAACCGAATAAAACTCCAAACATTGGCTTTTTGACCTCTCATTCGCTCACCCTCGCCACCAGACGGAAATGAGCAGCAATCCTTATGAAGATTCTTTGTAAGACTAACTCCTCGAGGGATTTTCTTGGGGCTACCGCAAATCTTCGCATTTGGCTCAGTTACTTGTGAGTAATGTGTGTGTGTGGGGGATAATTGTTGTTGATTGATTTGACTGACTATCCTTCGAACTTCACCTTCACGCACAATCCTCAATTCATCAGTTCGAGTTTCGCTCTTATTAGAGCTCATCAGTAGTGCATATCCGAACGCATCGCACGGAAGGTGTGTGTGTTACCACGGTGCCAACCAGTTCATAGCATGGCTGAACCAAATTGCCCATTAACGTTTGTTCTAGTGATAGTCACTCAGTTCATTTGGCCCAACACACACGCCTTCCATGCGACGGGTCCGGAGTTCAAATCCCTGATGGGCCGGTGGATATGTACTAATGATGAGCTCTAATAAGAGTGAAACTCGAGTCTAATGCTCCCGAGTGTATGGTTGAATTGATGCACTGAGGATTGTGCGTAAGGGTGAAGTCCGAAGGATAGTCAGCTCAAATCAATCAACTACCGTAGATCCTCGTGATTATCGGCCTCACATTTTCCGCTATCCATCACACAATTCTGTGTGACACCAAGTGGTGCCTCAGACGTGTGTGAAATGTAATATAATATATAATTGAATTGTAGATCATTGGTATTCTGACAATCGTATGCATATTTATTGGCACTTCGTTTACACACATTAATATTCAGAGTAGCAAATTTAGTTTTATTTCTTCGTGACAAGTCCATTGTTTTGACCAGATCCATTGACCTCATATTTTAGCTGACGTACGCGTTTTTCCTTACGGGTACATTAAACTGCTCCAATTTCGCTTCAGTTTCTAATTTTGTAGTATATTTCTGCCACGATCGACAGACCTGAAATAGCAACTGACCATTGTTGAATACGAGAAAAATGCGTGTTATCGAAAATACAAAGATATGCTATATTCCTTCTCTAAATAAAAGGTCATTTTGTAGTGTCCTATAGTCTGGAATCGTTTATAACACTTCTCAAAACAGTTTACAAAATATACACTACAAAGGAGCGGTGAATCAGTGCTCGTAAAAGAATCAACACCAACGGCTGTATGTTCATTTCAGCTAATGCATTGACCAACTGCAATCCCGGTGCATAAAAAGAGATTTTCTATGAAGAACTCACCGAACTCATTCAGTTTTCATTTTTAATAACCATCAACTATGCTCTTCCGTGCGGTAGTTTTGGTTACTCTCCATTGGGATGACAGTAAAAGGGGAATTGGAGTTTTAAAAGTAGTCATGGTGAAAATAGGACATTCATGAAGACAGGTCTCAAGAACACTTTACGACACTCAGTCATATCCTAATGTTTCTAAGCTCATTCGACTAGGCCGAATCTTCGGCATAGTTGTGATGGCAGATGACTTTTGTTTTTCTTTTGTACAGCACACCCTTTATTATCTGACCTGCGAGGCCACACCGGTAGCGCTGATCATATTGGGGTGCATGACAGACTGGAACCGGTTGGAAACGCAAAAGAGCGTGGCAGTGAAGCGACAGTATGACATTCTTTTTGTCACTTTATTGAGTCAGATTGCTCGGAGGGGTTTGTTTATATACACTGTATACTCTATGTCGACCATATTGGTTCACTTTTCTTTCCTTTGCCCTCAACACTGGTCTACTCCAAACCTACCATACGTATNGTATGCGTATGTCGTCTTTTAGGCAGCGATCAGTGTAGTTCCCTTCACGGTATTTCACCGTACCATGTTGATAATGGTGACGAGCGTTTGCAAAGTCATACGTTATAATTTGAGAACGGACTTCAATTTTCAGGATGAACTTAACAGTTTTGAGGATTGTTGGAATAGTTGTTTTCGTGGCCATTCGAGCTACATCTATGTTTGCATGAAGACTTGTGTAGAATATTAACCGATGGAGGAAATGTTTTGAACCAACATCTTAATCTTTTCATCTTTCTACTGCCCACGCTTGCTTTATGAACGTGATTGGGTTACTCGATTTGCAAAGATGGTCGACACGATCAAAGGTTGGGCGGTGAGTTAAGTCCGATAACTATTGCTTGGTCTTCACAAAAACTAACAGAACACGTTTTTCAAGGTTGAGTCACCATATGTTCGGCGATTGTTCAGTTCAGTTTGTACAACCATTAACGATGCATATTCGTGCGCAGGTTTTGGGTGCTGTCTTTTGGCTGCTCATTGGGATGAAGAATAGGAGAGGAAAGGAAAGTTGAAAGTGGATTCGAAAAGAAAATGCAGAAGTTCAGTGGACTAAGGTTGGAAAGAAATTGAGGAGATGCACGAACGCCACTGTTTACGACACCCAGCCATATCACTCAGTGTCTCTAACCCTCGGGTACGATCATCCCGAGGTCCCCAGCCAGGGAGCCTAACGGGACCTGTGTGACCTAGACACCTGGTTGGGGTNTTCACATCCTCGTGTCTTAACTTGACCACCCTTGGCTTTTTTCCACTCGGTATCTGCTTCGGCGAACATCGCTCGCCGTGGTAACCTACCTGGTGACATGCGTAACACGTCCTAACCAGGATATAACAGCTGGTTTGTGATTTCTAGGTTTTCTGTTATTATGCGATACTTGAAAATTACGTGGTGAATATTTTCTTCTCAGCTCGAGGCGAAAGCTTGATGTCCATCTGTTCGCTGAGTTTATCTATTGAACTTGCAAATCTTTAAGACATTCTGGATCACACGAACTATAGATGACCAGGTCAAACCACCCATAATTTCATTTGCTCTGAATAATTGAATGCTAGTTTGAAGTACTATTATTTGGAAGCTAGATGCATGCAACCCTCATTGTCTTATTCTCATCGTCTTATCGTTTCAACTAGGAGCGCGCAACATGGGCCGGTGAACGAGACGCCCTGCTTTCTCAAATCACTTCGGCCCCTCGGAAAATGAGCTTGGAAGAAAATACCACCGGGGTTACCGGTGGGGCCCCAGCCGGTACTGGTTCTGCAGCCAGGTTTTTCTCTGTTTCTGACAAACTGAGCGGTCAGAATTTGGCCAACCAAGCGTTGGAGAGTATGGAGCGTATGGCTCGCCGTGTGCGGCAAAAGGTGATGGCGAACAATTTGTGGCCAGAAGACGAATCAAGCGAGGCGGCGGCGGTTCCGGCTTTCGACATTCACGACCCTGTGGCTGTGCAACGCAAATTAGAAATGCACGAACGTGAAGTCTTACGGTTGCGTAACTTGTTGAAAGAAACCCCTGAGAAAATTGCCCCTTTGTCCACAGGTTAGTGGATATGCATAATTTGCACTAATGCGGACCACACTGTGCTTCCTTGCTAACGTGCTTGTTAAATAGTTCTTTTCTCGATGTAGTCTTGTGAACAATATTGCTCCCTTCAACCAATCATTTTGAGCTTAATTACAACAAAAGAAAAAGGCAGAGCGAGTACAATATAGTTATATATGCTTCATATTTCACACTCGTCGGAAGCCAAACTATGTGCCAAACAAATGACGGTACAATTATCTTTATCAAAGGAAACAAGTTCCATGATTTGTTTGTGAGCCCGATACTGCCAGATTGTCCAAGCCGAGGCAGGTAAATTTTCTTGGAAAATTCATAACTGGAGCCTTCGGCTAGCCGACGCCTGACCCGGGAGGGTGTATGGAAACCACAGTCGATTAGGGGCCGGTGTCCAGTTCATCGCGCAATACTTCTTTTGAACGGGGTCAGGCGTCCGAGATGCCCAGTGCACCTCGATGCTCAATCAAACCGGGGACCACTGCCTCAATCAGGAATGTGTGGTTCGTACGCCTTTTCTTGATTGGTTTGGAATCAGGGCTCTTAGCCAACTGCTCTAGATGAACTGCCGGTGTCTCATCGACCCGATTATAGCCCCGGATGTTGGCTTTTCATCCTCACACTTTGGTGGGAAAACCTCTACCACGAGAAGGCAGGTAGGCCTTCCTTAGTGGAGGCTGTTTGAGACGCTTGGTCGTATTGGAGCATTTTGCTAGAATCAAGATGAAGGATAACCATCCATAACCCAGGACACCCACCCGACCATACTTTCGTTTTCGCAATGATCAAATTTTGCCAAAACTTACAGTATAGTTACTTTTCGTTATATATGGCCGCACTGCCCTCATTCCTTGACAACCGAAGGGATTCTCAGGTTCACTGTAATGTTCTATTTACAATAATCGACTCAGGTTCACTCCACAAAACTTCCAAAAATGCACTCGGTCTCCTTTCAAATACACGCCTTGGTAGAATACAATGCATATCACAGTCAAAACAGCTTGTTGTTTGGTTTTGGGTACTGGCGACCTAAGAGATAGGACCTGAATTAGTAAGCTGCGAAAGGCCCCGGCCAGGTAGGTGTAGTAATACGTGCCTAATCATTACGCTCATATGTGGTGTCGGGATTGAACTCGGCAAAAAATGGTCGAACACTGACTGTTACTATGTCATCTTTTTGGCGTCAGTCAACCATACAGTTCGACGGCATTGACTGGGCTTGTATGGTGGCCTTGTGCCTTTTTTGTTCGATTAAGTAAAACAATTTCTCCGAATACTTTCCTCCAGGTTTCTCGCTATATCTACTATTCCTTCAAATCAACTAATTTCACCTGCGTCATATATTTGACTACTGACACTACCAAGCATGGTTATAAGTAAAATTAAAGTGAATGCTGTGATCCGCATAAGCCACTGAATCCTACCGTTCTATTCACGGTTAACAAAAATTGATTTAAACTAGCTATCGTTCAGACTGTCTTCATCCGCAATCCTCAGTTCATCTAGTCACTCTCCGCTGTCTGGATGGAGTTCATCTTCACCGTTTACTGGATCTGACGAAGCATCCGATGGAACATCTATGACAAAGATTACAAGAAATGGGAATACAGGGCTGTTAAAATTCCAGAAGGCGGTGCTGGTCGAGGACAGTTGTTTATTGAGGATCACCGGTGGGACATCAGTAATTTGGCATACCTAACACAGCAAATCTAAGCAGAAACATACCATCGCAGGTCCTGACCGCACAACGGGTAATAAGTGTAGCTATCTTTGAGACCCAACAAATTGCCCTCGGTGATCTCGTTGATTTTTTATCGTTGAAATGGTTCACCAACTATGTTACCTACTACTCACAAATGAGTAGTATCTCACAACAAGGCAACCATATCGCATTCCCTTCGAAACAAAAAATGTGGTTAAAGATGGTTATAGCTCGTAACCCGAAATAAGCAACGGCAGTACAACTCTTTGAAGAGCCAAAAGCCACTCCTAATCTTCCGAGCGACAAGAGTCTTTTCAGACAACAACTCCCAAGTGCACCTCATGCAAAGACAGACGACAACAAGTTGCATATCTCCTGCTTTAATAGCAACGTCAATCAGGCTTCTTCAATGAACGAATTTCTGTTACTTTTGGTANTTTTGGTAACATATACTTTGACTGCATCTGGACTACAATTTGTGGGTACGTACGCCGATAAAACAGAAATCGTGTTGATCGGGTGCTTTAACTGTCCAAAATCGATTGTCACCTGCGATCCATTTTTCAGTACGGTTATAACTCTATCAGCGAGGGATACACCAACGCGTGCAAAAATGAGAAGCCACTCCCTAAAATGCCTGAATAAAACCTCACAAAGCGTTTGGACTGAGCGTCAATCGGTTGATGTATCTGGGGTCTCGGATGCGAGTCTTTTGAGTACAACACACGTCGATGACTGGTGTTCATCATCATCGTGCACCTAAATACTGTGAAGCGAATGTCACCAGTCGCTACGAAACTCTCGATGCATTCAATATAAGTGAGAATGTGTAATGTGCACAGTGATC